TGTGTGTGTGTGTGAGCGCTGTCCAACATGGATGGCGCTTATTTGGCACTACCGCCAGATTTGTTACCTACGGACTTTAACACGCCTCATCCCCTTACCAGTGCCTTCCGAAATGCAAGTGACCCCTAAGTGGCGTGTCGAGTGTGGATTTATAGACACAGAATTGTGAAGTTAGCGTGGATATGGTGTAAAAAATACTTGATTGTCAACCCAACTCGTTGATCTTTCCTCAGACATACCTGAGTGGTCAAATTTAAAAAGTAATTAAGTTTTGTGTCCGTTGCTAAGGCACCCACAAATGCGCATGCGAGGTGATGCGGAGGGATGCACTGTGGTAAGTTTGGCTTATTCAGATCAATAGTTTGATGGGCCTTGTAAACTACACTAGTGATGCGAATAGTCATTAGGTTAAAGAACAGGAGTTGTTAAAGTGTTACATGTTATAAATATGGCGTAGATGAAATGTTTGGAAAATTGGTCTGCTAAACAATAAGAAATAGCAGTGGGCTGCCACGCAAAAACAGTATTATCTTGGAAAAAACCATCTTGGAATTGATCAATTTGTTTCCTATAATAGCAATAGTTAAAATTGTGAGACGGTGTTTATTTGGGAAATACATTAATATTCCCCGTGGTCTGAAAATCAGTCATTTAGGTTCCTGAAATTTCGAGCTTATGAAAAGAATTACCAAATTCGAATGAGGAGATTTTGGCATATACTTGCATTCCCCACACAACCACTCTTCACCTAGCCATAGTAATCACCTGGGTCAACTTGGAATAATTCAACTAAGAGTTAATCTGTTAACAATTACGAATTCTGCGCGTTAAGATGCGTGGACATCACCATAAGAAAAGTTCAGAAAATGGCAAGAGAAAAGCATGTTAACCGGAAACAGAGAATTTGAAATTAATGCAATTGTGCGGATTGTTATTTTGAAGAAGCATTCAAAAACTGACATTTTAACCTCGAACACACAGTCATAAATTTTCGCCTGCAGCTTTACTTCAAAAAGCCTTAAAGGCAACACTGACACCTGGAAAAATCCAAGCCATTAATTATGTGCACATGACAACCTGCACTTCCATGCTGGGAGAACGTCAAGTTGCGATCGCCATTCGATTAAAGTTCGATGGCGTGGGTAAAAATAACTTCAAACGGATAGACCGCAATATTGAAAATAAGACAGGAAGTTTCAGAAGAGCGGCTGACCCTTTGTGGACACACACTACGTGCCCGACTACGTGGCCATCCTTAAGCAAATATTCGGCGATCCACGGCTGGAAGAAGCCAAATGGTGGGGTGCTCATCGGGAAGCCTGCTCCGAAAATCGAGTACCTACACTTTACTTAGCCCGTGCAGGCCACCTCACGTTAGGTTCGACAGGCAACGATGGGGCGGATAAGCAGTCGCTGCCGCTGTTTCGCGAAAACAGATAACACCAGTCATGATTTAGAGCGTTTAGTTGATGCCCTAGGGCGCAGTATATAACCCTAACTCGATACGTAGAGATATGGACCCCCACACGAGGAAGTGCACGACTAACTTCCGCCACTGGTATACTGATGCCTAACCACAAAACAAGTCAATTCAACCCACTGCTCACCCGAACGTAATAACGAACAAGAGAACATAATTTGTAACATCAGATAAATAGCCAACAGCTTGTATTGCAAGAGTTGTGTGTATGTACACCTGGAAAAAGTCGGAGGTAATGGAGGGAAGCGTGCGTGCCGCCTACTCGTCAGGTGCAAGCTTCATGACCTGCGAGTGGGGCAAGGGGGATGGGGAGCGGGAAGCTGGGGCGGCTTCGACGTCAGCTGGACAGTAGACGGTGACTTTGGCGAATTTTCGTCCGGTGGTCGAGGCGGGGCTGACGGTCACTGGAACGAGGGTCGGGGTGTGGGCGTATGAGGCGGCGGCAGCGCCGGTGGAAGCCATCAGACCGACGGCCTCCTCGCCGTTCTCCTCAAGCTCCGTTTCCTGTGCTGAGCTTAGGTTCTAAAAATGTTGATCTTGGAGGGAGTGTGTGTGTGTAACAAGCTACTAGAATAAAGAAACTTGAAAGTATCCCAGTTCTTTAAATAAACCACTCAATGGTTCCCAGAACTCAATTACCTCGGCACCCAGTGTCATCTGAGAACAGCCCCAATTGGCCTCACTTGTTGAATAGGTGCAAGCGAATCGGGAATTGTGCCTGTCTTTAACAGGTTAGCCATTGGCGATAAAACACCTAATAAGGTTTGTGACAACGATAGCAATTTCAGAGGAGGTGAGAATGATATAAAGCTGTTATTGAAGGCCTGGAATCAGGGCAAGATTGCCAAAGCATTAACGATTCGAGAATGCGATTGGATCTTCAACCCCCCCCCCCGCTAAGGCGAGCCACCGTGGTGGCGTGTGGGAGGAAATGATCCGCACAATCAAGGGGATCCTCTGTGTAGTGTTGAAGGAACAGGGTAAGGCCAAGCAAAGATCCTGATGATCGGTGTCTTGACTAAAAGACGAACTTCACTAAACGGAAGATTTATAAACTGAATCCTGACATCTGCAATGTTTAACAACTCGCTGTCTCCGGAACCACAATCCCACGGGTCGGGTCACGTTATTCCGTGTAACTCTGATTTGCTATACTGACTTCCGTTAGAACACTATTCGGTTTGTCCCTTAGCAGTAAGTATCTAGATTATTGCATACATTTTCTGATTACGCTGTTTATTGTTATAGTACTCCTTGTCTAGGATAACACGTAGGCATATTTACATTTCAGGTCGCCTTGATGTTCTTCTTTTCCAGCGAGGCTGTTATTTACAAGGTTTAAATATGGACTGAAAGTCACAACAAACCGTTGTGTGGTACGTGACTGAGATTTGCAGGCACGAGTCACTATCCGCTTAACACCGACCACTGATCGGGTTACTGTAAATCGCCTTGGCAACCTGACACACTACTGCACAGTAAATGAACAGTCGTGCCGCATAGCGGCAACCTCAGGAACCTCCTTCAAGTCTCGCACGGACCAAAATCTCGATTTGTCTGCATAAACCCCGAGTTTGGGATCGTGGGCTGTAGGTGTGGGGCAGTGCTCTCGGGTGAGTCATCGTGTTTTCTGGATACTGCCAGGCGCAGCAGGAGCATAATAGATAGGTGTATTAATAGGACGAGGCACATGGAAAAACGAACCACCCGTAGCAGTTGGGTGAATCACCTAAGGGAAATGTCAAAAATGAATAAACGGTTGGGTCGACGGATTCCGATTGTTTACGGGAAAAGGCGAGCGAGCGGATATTTCGCCACGTGGCACCGGACCGGCAGACGCGGCGGCCAACAAGGCGATGCCTTTAAAAGACCATGCCGCATGCAGCATGAAAGAAAAGGCGCCCGAATTATCACATGACACTACAGGCTACAAGCGGGTAGTAGCTTGCGAAATCAAGTCAAAAATCAGAAAAAAGCACGTTTCGTAGAGCAGACGAGGCCAGAGAAACTGTAAACAAGTTTGGTTTGAAAGGCAGCGCACAAGGCAGACGAGCTTACCGCGGGATGAGGGAAGGTGCCGGCGTACTTGACGAGGTAGGCAGACTCGGGGTGTTGTCGGGAGTGGGCGTTGAGGTTGCTGCTTGTGGCGAACGCCTTGCCGCAGACGCTGCACTGATACTGCTTAATGCCCAAGTGCACCGTCTGGATGGTGGAATGCGAGGGAGAGAGAAAGAGAGATATACATTAAATACATCGCCAAATACTCTAAATCTGGTTCACAATGCGTCTTCGTTGGGATCATCATCGCAAACGATGAAGGGGACTGTGTGTGTGTGTGTGTGTAATCCGTTGCAGGAACGGCATAGAGTAGGGCCATGCCTGCGTGACAACTTAAAAGCTGCTGACAAGAGCACATGGGTTCGGGTTTAGGGTGGTCTTGTCAGCACACGCGCGAAGGAGACATGTGCGGCTGCCAACCCACTACACGAAATTATGATTTGCGGAGTTAAAAGTCAATGAACACTCTCCGACACCGGATAAAGTCGTAGTCACCAACTAGGTGGGTGTGCGACAGCCTAGGAGCCCTGAAAGACTCTGAAAAGGCAGCATACACATAGCGACATGCAACACGTTTCACTTCGGATTAAGTGTGTAGATCAGGCAAGTGTGCAACCAAAGGGACTTGTTAAAAACAGCCATTAAAGTTTGCGATGTGAATTGGTTCTGCTAAAAGTGCTAACTGATTGCCGCCTTGCTTCAACGACCACGGACCAAGTGATCCAGACTTATTTACCCCGACACAAATCGCAGTCTGATCTGTGCTCACGTAATGCATTGAAAATAAGCCGAAAGCACACTAGCGAGATCGAAAAGTGGGATCGCGGAGTTGTTTTGCTGTTGGGCAAATAAGAATGGACAAGGCCTCACAGCCCAAATCGATCGGCACACAACAGCACATCCGGTTGGCCGAGGCAGACAAAGATCAGTCAATAGAAGAACATCCAGGGGACGCGGAAGCCGCACAACGAAAGCTCTGACTAGCCAACGACGCCGTTCAGTCAAAAGTCATGCTAATGCACCTTATTCAACTCTGATGTCTACCGGCGATTAATTCTGATAGCCAGTGGACACGAAGGCACAGAAGAGAACCCGCGAAAAATTCTACAAATCGCTAACTTCTCTTGAGACATCTTCATACGTAGAAATACGGACGTGCCAACTAACACTCACAAAGCGCAGTGCTATCACGTCTGCCCAAAGCCATCAACAAAGGTCCAGATCACAGAATGACAGAGAACGCTGCAAGTGCTTCCTAATTACTTCATTAGGCAAGATTGAATCAAGCCAGCAAAGCTAGTGGCCAATGTCAAGGCTGATTGACCAGACAGTCGACCACCTACGAATACAACGTACCCGATGGTGCACACGGAGGTTGCTCGACGTTGAGAACTGACGGTCACAGTCGGGACAGGGGTGCAACCGAAGACCCCAATGAGCCCTCAGGTGGGTGGTCAGTGCGTTCGAGGTGACAAAGCGCCGGTCGCAGAGATTGCAGCGGAAAGGGCGGTCGCCCGAATGGGTCCTCATGTGAGTCTAACGTGGCATGCAAGAGAGAGTGCAATTGGGTAACAACTAATGCTTGTGGCTGGTTGCAACCACCCTTAACAGTCTACGAGGTCCAATCAAATGCGCCTACCATCAGTTCACTGGTCTTTTTAAAGTCCAGCTAAAACGCGAGGCGTGGCACTTCACCATCCCTCTAGAATTTCAGCTTTACTAAAGTAGCCGCTTCTGTTTCATTACAGCAAGCCACCAAGACTGGAACTCGTGTAGTACTAATTTAACAACATCGGAGAACGAAAGCAAAAAAGGTCCAGGTAACAGAGGAACAGGGGGGGGGGTTTTCGGACATTAACAGCCTTAATTTTTTTGCGTGGACTCACAGAATAAACAGTTGAGGCGTCAAAGAAACTTCATGCAGTCCGTTTTCAAGAGTGCGCAGATGCGGGCAAACTTTCACGTAACAGACGCATTGTGATAAAAGGAATAAATTATCTCTCAACGTGAACATGCAAGTACAAAATGCATTAAAACGAATAGAGAAGAATTGCCAACGTCGTAAATTCGCTCATGAACATTCAACAGGGGGTAGCGTAGATAAGGCGTTTTCGAAAATGCAAGCCATACAGGGGCCTTCATCTCTAACGGGTGGATTTAAACGTCGCAAGAGCAAACGTGTGCGCACAAGCCTAGCCTAAGTAACTTTGGGATTGTGAGATATAAACGTACTGGTACAAATCAGCATTTAGACGGCCTTAACCGTCGTTTGTCATTTGCATCGACGAGGTAACTATGCCCAACTACCACGCACTTTATTTCATTAATGTAGGTTGAGGCCGAACTAAAGCTAGAACAGCATGTCAGACGAGCAAAGTTTCAGCGCACAACGCGCAAAAGGCCTACTTTAAGGTTGCTGGAGCTGCTGAAGTCAGCGCCGCACACGCCACACTTGTAGGGTCGCTCACGGGTGTGGGTGCGTTCGTGGGTGAGGATATTGCACATCGTGGCACTGGTCTTGTCACAGAAGCGGCACTTGTAGGGCTTCTCGCCGCGATGCAGCCGCATGTGCTGCTTCAGGCTGGCCGAGTTGGCGAACACGCGCAAGCAGAGGCCGCATTGGTTGCGCTTCAGGGCGTCGCTGATTGCCTTCTCCCGCAGCACCTCCTCCTCCTGATGCTGCCGTTGCTGCTGCTGCTGCTCCATGGCGACAGAGCCGGAGGTGTTTAAGGTGTTCGAGTAGTCTCGGCAATGCGTGGTTATGAAGGCATTCAGGAAGGACTCCTGACCGTAAAACTCGCGCTGGTTACGGTCCGTGTCGTAGCGACTCTTTGGAATGGTCGGAAACGGGGCCAAGTGCCTATGAGTATATACTAGTTAGTTTCAAGATGTAATCAGCAAACACATTAACTAGCACGCAATTGTAGGAAAAATACTCGAACAAAATTAACCTATCAACTTTGGAGAAATTCAAGTTGTTGGTATTTGACTACTGACCGAACTAAGACTTTGGGAATTTTTAAGATTGCTCCCTAAAAGCAATACATTGGAGGCACATTTAGGCAGACGAAACTGTAAGAGACAGTTTAGGCAGACGAAATCTTATGGGTGTTGAAAAATGTACAGTCATACGAAAAATAAGGCCCTGTTTTAATTTGAGTGAATGCTACCGATGACCTTAAGGTGTTGATAAACCACAAAAACCTAAAATGCAGTTGTGATTCGTGTAGAAAACTGATGAAGCGCATGAAGAACCTAAATCGAAAATAACGACATACATCTGAGAATCCGCAACAATTGCTACTCATAAATGACTAGTAGCACGATTGACAGAAAGTGCAATGAATCGAGGTGAAATTCGACGCATTGGTCTGTTTTTAATGCATCTACTACAAGGGGTGGAGATTTCACGTTTCGCCAGTAATGATGACCGTAGTGGTAACGATAGGAATGAAGAGAAGGAGAAGCAGGACAAACACCCACACTGGCATGTACCATAGGGGTATTCACGAGCACCATGTGGCACTGTGCTTTCTGAACAAACCTGGAAGAAGCCTTTGGATGCCAAGCGACATGCATCGGTTATTTATGCTATGAGTGAGAGTGAATTTATAGGAAGTGAACGAAAAGTTTAGTCAACGGTGTCGCACGACTTAAGAAGTCAAATGAACTACAAGCAAAGCAACATTAGGACCACCTTTCAACTGGCAAGTGCTCATAAAGTGATGACTGCGAAAAAACGAAAATACTGGCACACTTTACACTATTGTTAATCAATAACATAGTTAGAAATTGCAAACTAGATTTGCCTGAACTGGTTCACAAAATAAAGAGCATTTGCGACACTTAGTTGATTTGTTCTAAGTCATGTGCATTACGATGTCTCACTTTTAATGCACAGTTGTCAGAAGTAGTTCTAGTCCGGCACATCTTCAAAGAAAACGACAACCTGATAAAACTGTCCGTTTTTTCCTGAGTCAAACTACACAACGCGACTCGACACACGTCCCATGACGAGTTTATTAATATGTATTCCATCAAATGAACGATATGTTATGTGGTTACAAAATGGGCACGCCAGGGGCACCATGCTGTTCTAATGAAGGACGCATTAAAATAATCACACTGTTGAACTATTAATTGAAGGGTCAATGTTGTTGAAAATACAATAATTAGCTGCCTGACAGGAACACGTGTTGAAGTACAGCGCATACAATAAGGGTTACCTGAGGCGTTAAATAAGAATCTCTACAGCTAAAATTTGTCTCAACATACTCTTCCAGCTTCAATGTTAATCTTGTCTATAAAAAAAAGTAACGCGAATTAATTAAGAGAGTACGGCAGTGAAGAATCATCGGATGGTTTCTTGCACTTAAGTAGCACGACTTAATATAAAAAGGAGCTTGAGAATTTAAAAGGGAAATAAAAAAGGCATGTTCGCAAGCCTACCCAGGTAGGGTGTTGAGAAAAACATGTTTTGGCATCGGCGTGATGTTGGCCAAATCAACATCTTCCTCCAGAGTGTAGCCATCTGGATCGACCTTGGTTTGCGTCGCTAAGTTATTTGACGCATCCATATCCAGCCTAAAGAAAATAAACACTGCTTGATGGTGCCTTAGAAAAACCACTACAGTAATGTTTAGAAAATTCTTCAATGCAAAGGATAAAGTCACACCAAAATGACTTATATCAGGGACAATTACGATTGATTGGGGGCCAAAAATCCCACCCACTTCATTCCCTGAAAATAAACACGCAGGTATTGATGCCGAAAACACATGCTGACATGGGCCTGGAAACATCGGCTTATCAAATAAAAAAATGACGGTTGGCAATGGATGTTTTGTATGTTTTACTACTTGATATCTACTTGGCAAGATCACACGAAAACCTTAACGCCCGGGAACTATGTTAGGTAACTTATACCAGTCCACAAATTGCTAACGCCTACAAGTTGCCTTCTTGAGAAGCATACATTTCGATGTTACGACAGAACAACAAGTTAAAGAGATTTATTAGCTGGAAATGAAGATCAGGGTAGCGGTTGTTTAATACAATCCAGGAACAATTACCACATCTGACAACAGACTAAAATCTCATTACGGCAACGCTGGGGCAACAAAAACCGACGCGGGGATAAAAGGAGCATTAGAGCAAACTAAATTTTCAGCTGAAAATGCCTACACTACGGAAATTTGGAATTTATAATGAGTAAACTTAAAAATGGTGTATGACGATGAATGTGACAAATGGTCTCAGTAGATCGATTTGCAAAAACACGAGTAACGTAGTGAAAAAATGAACTTAGAACTCAGAGGATTGCCCAGTGCGGCACTAGAGTTTGAAACATCAGAGTTCTGACGTGATTGGCAAGTTTTATTTCATGCCAGCTTATGTGCCCGAAGGCGCAAAAAAGGGACCAAGCACCCATACAATAGGCACTTATTTTAAAGGGTTATTTCAGGCAACATTTTGTGAATTTAGGCGCAGGACCATTTACTTTCCAACAGATTGGGCTAAATCCAGCACTGTCTATAAGCGAAACTGATTCTAACACACATGGTGCTTCTATAAGTAAAGTAGTGCGTGTGTATTTCGCTAATTTAGCTAACACGGCAGAAAACATTAAAAAATGTCCATAAGTTAGATAAGGAGGCAACAACCCACCCGAAACCGATACGAACACTCAACCGAACCAAGGTCGAATTACTCAAAATTCCCGCTTTGTCAAATTTTAAAGTCATTTGCATCGTCATGAATGCTCTTTTTCATTTACGGAATATGGATCAAGTCATAAAAGCTGTGCTGTTTTTTTTAACTCGATTCATTGCAGAGTTTTTGGTTTTTGGACATATTTACTGCACAACACTATATCTTTTTATTTTCAAATATCACTGAAGTACAAAAATAAGTCACTGTAACACAAACATTTCAAATTAAGTGCTTATTTAAGCAATTTATGCTAGATGCACTTATTGACAAAAAATTATTATCTAACTTAAAGCGAGCTTAATGAACAGTTCCAAAATCACCTGCGGTAGGTTAAATTAAACCCAATGTTCTAAGTGTATGTACAGTCTGTAAGGACTAAACACGCCAAATTGAATAACCGAACTTAAACATTAGCTAGTTCTGCCATCAACGTCAGCCTTCATGCAGTTGGCAATTTTGTATCTGTAACTTCTCGTAAAATAGGCGACCATGCATTGGAAACACAGATCCAAATGATTCAAATCCACATAAAAGCATTAATGCACAACCCAAGCAAGTGCTTGTAATGACTTTGGAAAGCAAATATAGTATAACTGCCAAAAGTATTCAGTTTGGCTTCAGAGTAGGCTTAAAACGCCATAAAATTATTAAACGTTCTACTTAATCCCTCAAGTTTAAGTCAATGGAAGTTAACAGAAGATTATTGATAGCATCTAATTACTACCGGGGTTAGTCATAGATTTGGCCAAGGCCCATATCCGAATGTGTTTGTCGTGCAGTGTTTGGTCTAGGAATTTAGATACAGCCCAACACTACATCAGAGGTAATTATGTACGGAAGTTAAGCTATTCGCAGGGCCTAACTAAAATCGCCTTTTGTAATCAATATTGGAAATTATTTTCAACCTTATGACATTTGTAAAAATACAGAGTACTTACAATAGTTTAAACCTAAATCAAATTGGCTGTGAACACTTCGCCGCAATAGTATAGATAGCTAAAACTGATATGCACCGAAAATATTGGCCTCTGAATTCTGGTAATATTTGCTAGGCTATTCTTTCGGTTTTTGATGTTACTGTTTCAGATTCCTAATGACCTACACATATTATTTACACTGTCTTAGACAAATAGTCGATCGCAAAAATATCGATGGCGGATGATGATTTGTGTGTCAGAATACGTTGCTTCTGGGTTCCTAAGAAATCGTGTTCTGGTTGGTTGCTGGTTGATCACTTAGCAAAGTGTCGTCAAAGAAACAAAAATTGCATCAAATCTAACTGTAGAAAAGTGTCATCGTTTTGATTTTTTTTATTAGAGTGATCGTGTTACTTGATTGCTTCTAATTTAACAACTTGCAACTAGGCGTGTATGTATTCGTAATACACTCATGGACGTTATTTGTGTGTGTTTTAAAAATCCTCCATACCTAACACAACTTTAATGCGACACTTAGATGCCCAAATTATGCTGGCCACGACGTAACAGAATTTAAGGCCAATATAATATAAATTAGACATCCTTGTTTATAAATAATCCATTCAATGTATGTATAATCGATCCAAGGAATTACAGGACTCTGTTAAAAGTTAAATTGCGCACATTTACTAACCTGAAGTCTAAGGCGTTTCAAACGCAGGACACTACCATGAAAAGCGTTGACTGCCTGTTTGCCACAGGTGATATCAAGTTCACCATATAAAAAAGAACACGGTTTATGTCACGCCCACTCGGAAATTTGGCATAAATCACATCACATTATTTCGACCGATGCAAATTATATTTGCGTGAACAACCATGATCAAATCGTCCGCTTCATTAAACTAATAGAAATGAGAATACGGTTCAAACGACGAACGCCGTAAGGCAGTAGTAAATGGTTAAGAGGGTGTCCACCGATCGAGAATATTCACTAAATATTATAATCAATCAAATATACCTACTACTAATTGACGTAAGTGGCATATATTGATCTTTGCATCGCTTCAAATAGGTGTAAATTTTACAATGTGCACAAGTGCTTGTCAACATCATCACATAACATTGTGACGGCTATTTACTCGGATGATTAATTCTATAGCGGATCAATACTTATACTCCTACAACAATCTTTAAACCATCCTTTTCAAAATTTATTGAGGTGCTATGGTGATTTTTAAATTAACACAAAGAAATTAACGTGTGAAAATTATGGACAACAGCTTAAGGTAAACCTGTTTAAAAGTAAAATGATCATAAAAGAAACAAACAATAATTAAATAAGGTTACAAAAAGTTTATTTAAAAATTATATTTCTAAATAGCCAAACGCAACTTACCTGAAATGAGCTTCTAAACATCAAAGTAAGTTTGTTTTTAAATATCCAATTGCAAGGACCCTCCACTTTTGAATTTCTAAGGCGTGAAGCTTCAATTTGACATGGTGAACGTTCCGAAGACCAGAAGAACGTTTTGCAAAAGTTCAAAGTGCAAAAAGCACACTATTCATAAGGTATCGCAGTATAAAGCTGGAAAGCCTGGTCTCTATACTCAAGGAAAAAGGCGATACGATAGGAAGCAGTCAGGTAGGTTTGGCTCTCGTGTTTTAATTTTTTTGCAAGGTTATGGTGGTCAGACTAAGCCTATATTCCGAAAAAAGGCGAAGACTACTAAAAAGATCGTTCTCCGATTAGAATGTACTGAGTGTAAGTATAAGCACCAACTCGGAATTAAACGGTGCAAGCACTTCGAACTTGGTGGTGATAAGAAAAAGAAGGGACAGATGATCCAGTTCTAAGTTGTAATTTGTAATAAACCTTCCGGTATTTATGAGGAACATGTGAGTATTTTTCTTGTCTTTGTGAATCGGGCTTCGGTTATTTACGCGCTGTCGATATTAGTCGTCGTACCACTTATGAGGCTATGCCTTTTATCCATTCAATCCTCTTGTTTGCTTATTTGATTTTTCAAATTTGGTTCTGGACCGATTTGTGTCTTTTATTACATAGTATTAGTCATTCCTATGTTGTCATTAAATCGTATCGGCTATTAAATACTCTTGATTGTATCGTTCCGTCAACTGTTGAAACTACAGTGTGACGGGAAAGTCAGTTATTGACCTGCACGTAATGACCACACTTACTTAAAATTTATGTTCTTGTTCTCCTGCTCCATTCTACTTCTAATAGGTGGCTATAGCCACTTAGTGTGCTCGCAATTTCAGTGCGAAAGCTGCTTCCAAAGATGCATCCACTGTTGGATTGATTTTTTGCCTATGTGAATAAGTCTGTTGGTCTTGCTCAATATTGAGTTTTTTGGCCTCCTTTCCATTATTATTCGCGACAACTAATGTGTTATCTAGTGCGTATCTTCCATTGCGTGTGGTTTGTGTTCTTGCCTTCTTGTTTCTGGTCATGGGTAAGCTCGAGTAGTCATATTGATTTATCAGAAAAGCATTAGCTAACTTACGTATGTAACTGAGCTATAATATTCACTATGAATTTTGTCATTATGCCTCACCTTGATTTGTGGTGAGCGACTCCCAAAACCATTAACGGGCATGCTTTTAATAGGCATCTGTGCTTCAATAGGGTGTTCGCTTTTTGGGGACTGTTCTTATGACGACCTCTAGATATACCTTTTCAGAATCGTTATGCCCCGGAGACCCTGTCAATGATTATTCGTGTGGGATATTGTTTTCGGTAAAATCTTTTGAACATCCGTTCTTTCGAGCAATTTTAAGTCGATGTGTGAGGTAGGGTTGTGCATTTGGTGCCATCATTTATGAATGCTTCAGTAAAAGATGACTAGGGGTATGTGTGCGGCGATTTGGCTATCAGAAAGAATGCGAATGAACCAGTGTCATCTAATGGTCACTCCGTTGTTGTCCAACACGATCGGTTGCGTGTCCGGGCCATTCAAACAGTGAGTAGAAAGTACATTAACGGGGTGACCTTCCAATTAATTTTTCAGTCTTCGGTTGAGGGCAGCCCGAAAAACCGTCCACATCGTTACTGAAAAAGTCGACATTCTCTGGATTTCCTTGAGCAAGTGAGGTTAGTCCCTAAACAGATAGCTAACCAAGAATTAATGGCTGCCGTTTCTGATGACCGTCCCTGTCGTTTTCGCGAAATCCCTGAAGGTTCTGCTGATTCCTTAGCTTTTATCGATTCATGGCCGAATCGCTTGTGGTCGCTGCAGTCTGTCTTAGTTGTACCACAATTAGTGTATGTGAGATTAGCTTTGGACCCCTAGGCCGATTTGATTGGACGCTTTAGCCAATTATTCCACTTTTAAGCGAAATATGAAACTGACTCCTACTGAGATAAATGCTAGTTCTTGTGTATTTAATGTAGAGTGAGTAATTCAGGATTTCTTTACAGTTTTATAATGAGAGTTATGAATATTTATACACACAAAGACCAGACTGAAGATTTTCATTAAAAATTTGAGGGCTCTGCGTCCATCGTTTCTACCACTGACGGAACTGAACTAACTGCTTAGGTGATGAATGCAGGACAATCATTAGATTCATCTGCGGTTTAATAGGCAAAAATTTACCTTGGTCTACCACGTGCAATTAACTGAATATGAATATCACATCACAGTTCAATTTTTATGGGGAGGAATTACAAAGTGTCAATATCCAAGATATGCTATGCCTAATAAAAGTAAAACAACTCAGGATTAGGAAGAGCAGAGAAGAAAGCTGGTAATTAGACGAATATATCCAATTGGGTTTGGGAACTATTACGGCGCAAAAAATATGTACTTTACTGATGAAAGCAGATTAGCAAGCCATTTTTAGGTGAACTAGCGATGCAGGTACATGTCTAGGTATATGAGGACCGATGTGTCCACCTAGATGAAAAAGGCAACGGTAAGTGGGGTTTATTTGGGAGCATCCAGTGAGGGAACTAATGTGAATTAATTTAATTTGCATTTCATCTTGTAGACAAAAGATCAAATCGAAAGTACATAAAGTTCCTACGATTGATTATACCCTAATTTGACAACAGCGTGGATTAGTAACCGAATTCATTAATATTGCTTCCATCAGTTCATCTTAAAAATATATGCTCCACTTTTGTATTTAACTCAATAACAACACTCAGGGAAGGTAAAAAATGCTCAGTTTCAAGTCACAGCTAATTCAATTATTTGAGTTAATAGAGCTAAATACAAAAGAGTTAAATTTTAAAGCATTTGGCAACAGTAGATAATCTAAACATGGTAATATTTTACACCAGTGATGTTCAACTGCACATATACATAAAAAAGATTTAAGAAATTGCATGGAAAGTTGGGCAGATTCAAAGTTATTTGAGACACATTATTGCAGCCCCCTTATATGCGATAACAAAAGCATAAATAAAAAGAATTAAAAAAATTGAAACTTTTTCGGAGTTGAAAATCTAGGCGATGACATAAAATTATTACGCACAATTGACACTCTAATATAAAGCATTAAACAAGAAAATAATTTTAAAATTCGAAATAACCTCTGAATGTCTATGTGATTTGTTTTAGCCAGTTGATCGCGCGGATTATTAGGATAGGTTGAGGTAGGCGTGATGTCCTCATTATGTTTTTGTTTTCATTGTTTAGGGATCATTTGCTTACTTTATTCTCTTGTAGACTATAAATGACGAAGGGCACAACATCTTTCGGAAAGCGTCATAACAAAACCCACACACAATGCAGGAGATGTGGCCGCAAATCATACCACATCCAAAAGAAGACCTGCGCTGCATGTGGGTATCCGTCTGCTAAGATGAGAAAATACAACTGGTCTGAGAAGGCTCGCAGAAGGAAGACGACAGGTACTGGTCGCTGCCTACACCTAAAGTCTGTCCATCGTCGTTTCAAGCATGGGTTCAGGAGTGGGCCTCCGAGGTCAAAACCTGTGAAGTCAAACTGAATTTTTAAATATACTTAGGTTGGTATTTGCTCACTTTTGGTACTTTTACTGGTTCCATTTGGACCAAGACTAGTAAATACTAGTGGCCATCATTTCATCTGTTGTCGGGTTTTACCTCACGTCCTGTGATTTAATCTCAGTGCCCATTTGTCTTGAAATTATCCCCTCGGGTAGTGGCGTAGGATCGTGCTTTTCAGTCCTGGTCACGTTTGGCCTGTATCCATGGCTAACTTGAAGGATACCACGGCGTCTTGCAAATTATTCACGTCTAGGATTTTCGTTATTTGGGCATGTAGATTATCACGTGGCGGCGCCTATTTATGTCGCTAATTCTTTATGGCTTTCTGCCATGCATTTCATGGTCGTAAGTTTCCTCTGAATTGTTTGTGGCGCTTTAACAGTGTCGCCTTCTAACGCATAATCATCAGGACGAAAATTTCATGATGTTTGTTATCATATTGTGGAATGCCTTACATTGACTTTAATAGATCTCTCACTGAACCGTGGTTGCCATTCAACAAGAGTACTTTTTGAATTGGTGCTGCGCTATCTTCCTGATATTTGCCACCTAAGAGACCAAACAACTGTCAGAATCCACTATAGTTTTTCGAAATCGTTTTGCTTGTGCTTTCTCGAAATGTGAATGAGAAGTGTGTCCACACCTTATGGTTCGTGAAATCTGAGGGAGCTCCGTTTTTGCACAGTGACTTAAAGTTCCCCTTTTAAATCATTTTATGGCACCTCGATAGGGGCGTATTTAATTTGTGGTATAGCATCGGCTGACATTAGTGTATGAAGGCTGCCTTCAACATTCTTTTGCTTCCGTTCTGTTATCGTCGACCGACTTGTATGCATTGATATCCTGGGTTAATTCATTAAGACACAAACCAAATTGGGATCAAATCCTCTAAGGGCCTCCTCCCTCGTATGTTATGTCTCAGGCAAATGTTTTCTGGTAATAATGGAGGAGTAATTCCAGAGACATTGACTTTTTACTTCAGTATGTGCCTATGAGCATTATCGGGGCATTTGTAAATTGGTACGGGAATTCCGACCGGCCTAATGGGATGAGCATATGAACACGTGAACGCAATTCAAACGTAAGTTAGCACTAAAATGAGATTTAGAGAATTGGGCCCTTAAAAGGTGTTTAGCCAAACTGAACTATCAAATTGCGGAAGCAAACAGGGGTTTAGAAATTAGGCCTGTAAAATTGAAGCGGTTCCACATTGAGATACCAAACACCAATGATCGAGGTTTCAAACAGACCCAGCTGTAATGAACAACTGCTGTTGGTCTTTGAGTATGCTTTTCAAAGCAAGAAGAGTGATAAGATTATGCTCGAAAGGTGCGGATCGTGATCGCTGATCATGTCACGGTCAACAGCGGACGTAGGTAAGGTTCGGCCATGGAAGCGAAGGCCCCAGTCCATGGGAAACCTCGACGCATATTCAACTCAAAGAACCTGATGTCTATTTTGCGCATTTCGCGGGAGGCATCGGGAAGTAACCGATCGGCCCTTGATGTAGCATATTCCATGATATCGATGGCCTGTTCGCGAATCATTTACACTAAAGCATGCGTGGCCACATGGGCTTATCCCAAGGTTTAAAAAACCGCTACCTCCTACGTTAAAGGCTAATGGCGTCTTGAAAATTTAGTTGTTGTCAACACCTCAACCAGCTAAACACCACCAAGCACAACAGAATTATTAGTTACGGGAATATACTGATAATGAGATGTACAATGAAAGACTAAAAGTAGTAGTTGTAGTAGGATAAAATTGATTTAGTGGCGTTCTTTTAAGGGCCTGTCGCCCAACCCGAGTCGTCGTTTGAGCTCAGCATTTTCCTCCTCCAGACGTCTATTCCTATAAAGCAGCTGGTCAACCAGAAAAGAGTGCGGCCTGCTTCCCATCAGCTGGTCATCTGCCGTGGAGCGCCGAGTACTGATGATGACCTACACGGTGAGAAAGAGAGGCTGATGAAAATGGACTCGCAAATAGCAGCACATCACACAAAATTTGTCGAATCTCACCTCAGATGTTGATGAAAGCTCTGAGAGAATTTCTCCCAAATCGGGTCGGTCTGAAGGTTGTGAACTCAGCATCATTCTTAGCAGTTTTGACTAAAATGAAAGTGATTTTTTTAGACTTAACAAACCAATTGGGTGATCACATCAAAGATTGTGCATGTGATCATAGGGAAAAAGGTCGTCATCGGTAAACACTTGGACCAAACTCACCTCCAGAGGCCAGCCTAGGGTGAGTTCCCGAGGTAGAACATCTGCGGATGGCGGATGCCGCCGAATTTGGTCGATCAGGAAAATGAATTCCGACTGAGTCCGGCAGGGGTAGAGGAGTTGAAAGAGAACAACCCCCAGACTGTACACGTCAGCCTACAAACAAAATCACACCAAGTTTTAGTCCTTAATAACTATCTTTGGGGAAGAAAATTCGGACATGAAGCACCGGGGAAATCAGGTATAATAAGTACAAAAATCTACGCCCCGAACTGCTGAAGGTGGCAACATGACTTCGCTTCGAATGAACCCTCAATTTAGGACCCCTTAACAGCGTTTTCATGAGGTGCTTCAGGGAGCCAATCAGCATGAAGGGTTCGAAAATCAACGCTAATTCAGGCATTCCAGTAGCAGAAACTCGCTGTTATTCTACTGCGATTGCAGAAGCAAAACTGCGTCCATGAGACATGGAATATGGAAAAGAAGTGGAAACTCGTGTAGTAAGGAGAAAAAGAACAAGCCTTGTGATTGTAAAAGCTGCGTCCTCTGTGATTGCTTTTCATGACTTCGGGCGCGGTGTAAATAACGGTGCCCAAATTGCCCGTGAGAAGAAACAGCGGCCCGGAGAGAGTGGTGGTGGTGGTGGTGGCGACGGTTTTGGGAGGAGCGTCCAAGATGGTATCTGAGGATACAGGTCCGGTTTTGGGTAGTTCTTCGATTATAGGACCGGGTGGCGACGCTAAAATGGGGGTGTAAAATACCATGGATATCCAACCAGTCGACGTAATTTGATCATCGAAAAGATACTACAGATTGCTGCTGGCGAGAATTAAGTCCAATCGCAATATAGCAGGGCATGCTGCGCACACGTCTGCATCAACCGGAGATTTGCAACCATCACTTAGACGTGAAATATCCTCTCCCACAGCTGTGAGAGACATTACTGAAAAGACCTTCGGTCAACACCGCACCGACAATTTTGGGGCAAAACTGCAAGAATAAGCTACGGAAACCAATGGATGATCTCCAGACAAGAAACTGCAGCAACGTGGGACACCGTACTCGAATGGGAGAAGTCGTCGCCAGACTCGTCCATGAGGCATCTCTCGAGCAGAGTTGAGAGACCAAAGTCACCGATTTTCACGCGTAGCTGGTGGTAACACCAGGACCGCTGGCAGTCGACTCCCTCGGCTGCCGAGCACGCGGCAACGCCATCGCCTGCGTTAACAGGACTGGACATCTTTGGAGGCCCTTGAATGAATATGTTGGCTGGCTGAAAAACAAAAAAAGTTTACAAGATGTAAGGATCGAGGACCGACCACGATTCCGTTGTGGGATGCCAAAGGTCCTCTGCTTTTGCACAAAGACTCAAGGCGGTTCGATTAATTGCTGAGGATTTGAGACAACCAACAGACAGCATCATTTCGCGATTAACCACTGTAGTACAATGAGGGAATCACGACAGAACTGCAAGCAGTAGAGGGGTACATCCTGACAATGTTGACACAGGCACGTACCTTGATATCACGGTGAATGATGCCTTGCAAGTGCAAATAGTGGACACCCTTGACGGTCTGGTCGAAAAGCCAGCGAACCTCGGCACGATCCACGCTGCTCCAGGGATAGGAGTGCAGTAGTCCGACAGCCTTGCTGCTGCTGCCTTCGTCAGAAACGGGTTGAGGCGTGGGGAGGCTGTTGCGCCAGTTCAGCCAATCGGCCAAGGTGTAACGACACAGCTCCATTTGAATGAACAGCGTCAGTGGCTGGGGCATTAATTGCGTCGGCTAGGAAATACAGTCAGACAAGTTATGCAACGCAGTTATCTTGGCACCAAACATTCACTCAGCATACCTTGGACACCCCTCTATTTGTCGGGAATTAGGCTGATGTAAATGGATTACATATAGTTGCCAGTCCAAAGTCCAACTGGTGAACTACATGCGGTTCCTGTTTACGGGCGAATGCGTTAATTTATTAGATAATGGAGGAAAGGTCCTTATCAAGGCCCCATAAAAATCCAAAGGATTAGTCCAGGGCTTCTGGAGGTGTACTGAACAACTTGTAGAACCGCTCGTCCACATAATAAAGACTAAATCCAAGTCAAAAGTAGTATTCTTCTTCGTCACCTTTCCTACACAACCCTTTACCCGTCATTTTTGACGAACTCTGTGATTCAAATTATTGCCGGTGAATGTGCGTTTCGTGTTCAACCGCACGGAACCTTTTCTTCCTTTGAAGCTTGTTTGATGGTAAAAGAGTAACATGGCGTTTCGAGGGTACATTGAGTGTCAACCGCCTTGAAAGACTCCAACTATTCATCGCCTGCAATCCAGGGATAATGCCTTCAGTGGTCGACGACGATTCTTGCATCTGCATTATGCACGGGGTCTGATCCGCTCAGGAATGAGAGAAATCATCGCTTACTGATCCCTGACAATGCCTATTCCAAGATTTACTGGCATCGACACCAGCCCACCCGAACCAAGCCATAAGCTTCAATGTTACTCGAAGTTACCCCTTGTGCAATGATTTGTTCAAGCAATCTGCTCAAAAATGAGTAAAAAACTACGAAAAATGAAAACGCTGAGGAGATTTATGCACTTCCGAGAGATTTTTGCCGTTGCATAAGAAAAGGACCATTAGCTAGGGCACATCATTTACCAAATGAAATATATTCGCACTCTAGGCCGAGATAACATGCAAGGCGTTCATAACGGGTTTCCTTGCCTAGCGAAGATCGAATCGGTTTCAGAAACTAACTACCTAACGAGTCACGGATTACCTTTTTACATATAGGTAAATGTCCACTGCCCTAATTGACTTATTTAGACCGCTGAACATAATGCAAAGGCCTGAATTTTGATTGAAACAACAAAATATCCACATTACAAAGCCAGTTGAATTGCTCAACAACTCTATCAGCGCTGTGTAGTGCTGCAAATCATTTAAAATTGAAAAATCAGTGCGCCTGGTTATTCTGATAAAACCTTCATCAGTAAAGCCACATCATTTGGCAATAAGAAATTGGGATTTGAATTTAAAATATCATCAGAATTGATGCATTGCAGCCAAGCGGTGCTGTTTATAACCGATTGATTCTGTTATATGGCTGCATTTGAAAAAAATGTTTCCTTTTGTTTAAGCAAGAATATCCAAACCAACTAGACTCCGCATCGTGCTGCTGGGCACAGAGTCAGCCAGAGGGAGAGAGGGATCTGAACGTGCACTCCGAAATTACCACAGTCACCAAAGAAAGATTGTTTCAAAGTTTTAACGCATTAAAAGCTAGCACGATTGGATATTCAGGCTTGAAGTTGGACAACCGCCGCCCGAAGCAAAAAAATTTCTCCAAAATGAGAGGAGAGACAATGAAGAAGGTGAACACACCGGAATCTTTGTGGCGCAGTTCGGAAGAACGGCAAGAGCGCGGTCACCGTTAGCCTCGACGTCGTCGTCACTGCTGCTCTCAGAGCTGCTTTCGTCACTGCTACTGTCATCGCCAGAATGAGGGAGGGAAGGTGGGGCTACACTGACACCACCACCGCCGCCGTCGCCGCCACTACGCGAAGCCCAGGAGACCTCAGGTGATGACGAGGGTGCAGTGGATTGGCTGGTTTCACTGGATGACTCTGAACAATGACTGAAGCGAGAAAACCGTCAAGTTGTGACTTAGTCAGGCAAACACCATGTCGCCAAGAGAAAATGAAAAGGGGGGCAAAGTTAAAGAAAAACATCTTAGGTGCTCAGGAACATCACTAGAACTCATGACTTGCGGAATTTAAACCGATTATACTTTAAAAAAACGGGGACAAACGTACCCGGACGGCGAAAGTGGTCTCTAAAGAGAAAGGAACTAGAGTGGAATATTCGGTCAATCAACAGAGCAGCCAAGTATTACTTGCTTATCTTCTGCTTGTAACTGTACTTCATCAGTACTAATCAAGTAAAACTCATCGACATGCGTTTGGTGGATACGTGACAGATCAACGCATAAAATCGCTCTGTTGAAACTACCATATTTCGGCTTTAAAGTACACTGATGTGAAATTTAGAGGTAAAATTATTACAACATAATACAGCAAATACGAGGATCTTTTGAGTTAAACTTTAGTGGTTCAAAATACCCAGAATTTGCTACGGTCGACTTAGATCAAAAGTGCGCATCAAATTTAAGTGGGGACTGCTGCCGTATCACTGTTGTCAGTACAAAATAATTCCGAGATAAACTATCAAAACACGCATTTGAGGATCGGTCCTTCAACAGCTGGGATATATTTGATTAAAATGCATTAGAAATTGTAGGGGAAAACGTACAATAGGGCTTGAAATATCTTCTGCTTCTATCCAACAGCTGAAATATCGAACCACATTCGGATGATCCAACAAAGCCAGAACATCGACTTCATTTTTAGCGCGTTTCTGAGAGCAACAGAAAATATTCAATAAATAGACAATTGCAAGGAATGATAAAGGAAGACGGGACTAGATTCACCACTTCACTTCGATGTCAAATTAGGCAGAATAAGCAAGGTTACGACAACGAAACCTCAGCAGAGGCAGTATATCCCTAAATTAGACGAAGTCCACTTGAGTGTGGCGATCGAGACAGAATACGAGTCTGTCTGCCGTTTACATGGTAGCCATTTAAGCTCCAGGTGGGTAAAGAAACATGATGTCAGGAGGAACTCCTAGTTCTTGTCAAGTGATGGTCATACGAAAAAAACAATTACTTGATTAATAAAGCACTTCAGTAAACCGACGGCGGGGTTTTAAAAGTGTAATAGAATCTACTTAAGCGCAACACAACTGTTACCTCGTTCTTAAGATATCAACCCACTTAAATCCATTGAGAGATGCAATTCTACATTATGTCTGAGTGAAATATAAAAGGTTTTCAGATTTACATGTTTTTAGTGAAAAAAATTATTCTTAGCGAAAAACAACGATAAGCAAGCCAAAGTGGAGGAATCTCATTGGCTCCTTATCGACGGAGAAAGCTTTCAAAAAACTTACTAGCGATTTCGTAGAGGATATATTACGAATTAATTTCAACGCATACATTCGCCCATCAAGACGGTGCATAGCCTAATCAAAAAAATTAGAAATAAAAAATAGTTACGCTATATACACTGGAGGAAGCACCTCCGCCGATCCACCTCAAATAATCAAATTCCTGCTGATAACGCGCCCGATACAACGTAGGAATGGGTCTGCATAAGGGATAGACAACTTGTTTGGGGATACCATTCTGAAGTCGATAACATAAGAAAGTGCCAAAAAAACTCACAAAATGGTCGCCAAAAGACTGAGTTAGAGAAATATTTCTAGCAAGTTCTGGCCAATATTTACGATGCAATGTCTTCCCATGGACAGTAATTTTTACGTCTAAAAATGTCACAGAATTAGCCCGTCAAACCATCGAGGGAGAGATTTCCCAAAGCCGGAGCAGGAACAATACTCAGGCACTTGTCGGATTTCGGGGCGGATTCTTCGGTGGAATCCGAATCCATGTTTCACGTATCCCCTTAAATTTAATTTGAAAAAATACATTTCGGATACAAAAAACTAACGAAGTGTAAAGGCAAGAGAACGACTGCAAATACTACAAGTGCTACTTTACTTGACGACGGTAGAGGGCTTCTGCCAAATCTATTAGCATACACAATTGCATGAAAAGATTCGGCATATAATAACTGAATGAAGCAGCTAAATTATAATGCAAAAAAATTCAGTAGGGTGCGAACAAGTGAACAATAACGAAATCATGATGCCATTTACAAAATCGAATGCGATTCGAGATAGTAAGCCCTACATTTTAGCTATTAATTCATCGTTTCAGTTACACTGCAACGAAAACTAGTACCGGAGTTTGCTATAGAATATTATTTAGGTCCAAAAAAAATCGTTACGAATTTCACAGCGTGACATCTGGCAACTACAAGAGTCATGAAAATTAATTGTCAAAGAAATACACTACTTGAGGTAGGTAGTTCATTTTAGTCGTTGAATTATCAATTTCCAAACGCCATTAAGCAAGAACTTATTAAGGAAAGCTGTCCATTTGAACAAAGGAAAACGTAACAAAAGAAACCACAGATGGAGACAGAAGAACTTATTTGGCTACTCACAAACTATAAGTGCGTAAGAATTCACAAAAGAATACAAATAAGTGTAACCAAACCCCGAATAAGTAAACAGGGTGTTGGAGTTGCACAACAGATAAAAGAGCATCATTACCATGTTATGAGACTTAAAATCAGGAAATCCTCTAACAAGAACACCAGTAAATCGACCAAAGGAACTGAGCGGATAATTAAAGAACACATGTCGACCGATGTTCTCTTATGTGATGCGATGCTCTACTTAGTGTAAATTAATAACTTATAGACTATCAAAGGCGACCATTAGCAAATTCATACGATTCTACTTGAATCAACACGATCAGAGAAATACCAGAAATTTCTAGAGCCAATCAGCTACGAGATAGTACTGCTTGATTTATCATTTGAGAAATTTAGTTAAACATGCACTTTCAAAAAATCAATTTCATCACTAACACGTAAGAAATATTGTTAATACTGACATGATATGGTTAAATTAAAAAATTCAGACTTTGCGATGAGAGATTTTAGTAGTTGAGCCAAAGCGGATATCTACTAAATTAAATTTAATTATTAAGTCTGAGAAATTATAGCGCATGTCTAAACAGATAACACCAACGATTTAAATTTCACACATGATATTGCCTGCTCTTAGGCAGCTATTTTTTCACTTCCATTCAATGAAAGTCTGGATTCGCTTCTCAAATCCTTCCTATCTCAACCCGGTTTCATCTTCGGCCCCGTATCTCCGGAATACACCAGATCTTCGAATGATTCCTAATCTTTAGACGATAGATGTTGATTTTCTAAACCAATAATCCTCGTCTTATCAGTCGACTCTCTTGTTTTTCAACCCGACCGCATTTCTCGACTTTATCAGTAGCCTCGACTTTCGACGCTTGCTTAGCTGGTATTTTCGACTTGATACTCAACTTCCAACCGGTCCGAAGAGCCTACATTCTCATGGGAACATTCGTGCCACCTGCATTACGATCAAACCTTCAGAGACCCTGATGGAATCAAAGGTTGTATTAGCCGCAACATAACCACCTCAAATGTCTTCCGAGGACGTACAATCACGAGAAGCGTTCCAGTCAAAACTTGGCGATGACTACTCACCTAGCCTGATCGCCCTCGCATTCGACCACTTTAAAGTGCTCAAATCAACCTCACAAAACCTACGGCTTACATTTCAGAAAATCTGTTGAGAGAAAAAGCCCGCCAATGATTTTCTATAAGCGAGAGACATGCGGTAAATAGAATCGACTCCCGTCTATTTACTCTGTCGCTGCAATCTTTGACATTTGGGTCATTTGTACGTTAATTTGTTTATATGTTAGGCATACAAAACTGTGCCACACACTACAGAACACTAGTAAACGATTGTCTCTACACTCGCTGGTCTTTCCGTCTTCTCGAGTATTTGAGAGGTGTAAACGAGCCAATTCATCACAATGGCCTCGGAGAGGCTCACGACCAAATGACGGGGCCCCAACAGTTGGTGGCCCCGAAGTGAAAAAGGAACAAACAAATGTAGTCTTACACCGCAAAGCTACTAGCATTTCATAGCTCCCAATAACCAGATGGCCAGTGTTTCTGGAAAAAAGAAATTAAACCATCTGTAATGTACCAAGAGAAACACCAGTTAGTCAAGTATGACTAACGCTTGCGGATTCGGAACGAAGAAGAGAAAAAACCCCTTAAGTAATGCGTTATAAAGAGGTTGTACGGCAACTAATACTAAGGCTAGAAAGCCTTCTTGTCAACGGTTACACCCACGCAGACAAATGCACGAGTTGGGATACCACGTGGTGCAAAACCAAAGCTGTTAGAGATAACTTCAGGCAGTTCTGCATACACCAGAGAGCAACGACACCCTACCATATCACCAGAAATTATTGTGACTTCCTCCACTGATAACCTTAGAAAAGTCCACATAGCACATACGACAACCACAAACAATGCTACACAGATTTATGAGATATGTAAGCAATTGCACCCAGCTGGAAGGGCCAAAATAGGGTGTCAACTATGTCGCCGTTTAAAGAATTCCACGACGCAGGTAAAAAATGTACTAGCTTTATTCCCCAAGCCTGAGGGCAGAAAAGACACTAGAATGAATGGTCAGCTCATTTACGAAAATGTAACGAGCTATTCGAGCCCTGCATTCTCGATCCACATAGAAGAGGTGACGAAAAGTCACAGACCACCCCAAAGAGGTTACAAGCATTTACAATCAGGATAACCAGCACGGAATTGTGCAAAGAAACCAAAGAACGAACATATGACGCACCCGAGACCCAAATTTCGAGTAGCGACTTCTTGCAATGGTTGCACGTTACGTTAAATTAAAAACCCAAATGGAAACCTTAACGAAGAAAAATTATTCCAAACTGCTAAATGAAAAAGAAACTCCGATTCGAGTATGGAGCAACCGCACGATGGTGCAGACGCTGGTGACAGAAAGCAAGATAGCAATATCGTATAAATATATTTTATAAAATCTTCATAAAACCTGACATTAGAATACTCCAGCGACTTGTAAGGCCACATTTAAGAATCATCATCCTCGATTTTGGGAGCTAGATAATAACGTATATACCCCAAATCCTCAATGGGAAATTCAACAACTAAAAGAGTTAACAAAAGTGAAATAAAACATACCTGCAGGCACGTCGGCAGTCAATGAGAGAATAACCTGGCTGGCCAGAGGAGCAGCCTTTGTGAAAATATTAAAGTAGTGCAGTGAATATGTCATGCTCACTGCCTCAATCATCTCGATAGACACAGCCTCCTCAGGCTTGTCAGCATTGGCAGTTTGGGAGAGTTTAATATTTCCCGATCCCAAGTCACCAGTGGAACTAAATCGAACTCCATCCTTGGCAACGGATATCACAACAGAGTCGCCGATTTGCCCCAAATCACGGCATATTCGTTGAAGCTCAGATGCAGGCATTTTAATAACACATTTGTAGTCCGTCTCCTAAGAGAGGGTGAAAATTAAGCTAAGTCTTACAGGTATGCCAAGATGGTCAACGTCTAAGTCCATAAGCTTCAATTCAAACTCTGAAACCTTTTCCTGATCTACAAAGTAATTTGTGTCGAAGTAAAATTACTTCTCGACTCGAACAAGAATGTAATAGTATCAGCCTTATCACCGGCTTTTAATGTTACTGAATCAGTAGAACCAGCACACTTAAGAATCTTCGCAGTACTGGAAAAAATGTTACGGAAAATACAAAGCGAACCTAGCTATGTTGAGGCCAAGTGACATGTTTCTATCACACCGGAAAGTCTCGAAACCGTCACTACGTAACAAAAGTGACACAAGACTGACGTGGGCACTATCCATAGCCTGAAGGCTAATACCGGTGTCAGAACAGTCAATTGTCGCCTCTTGAACCAGCTCCTTAACGGCATCAATCACCTTCTTCCAAACATCAGCTTGATGGAGACGAGCCTCAAACATCCTGTTTGAATTAAAAAATTGAATCTAGACAACCAATTAATTAAGATTAAAACAATCCTTCTTTTTTCAAAGTCGGTGTAGCTAATTACAAGTATATAATGATATAGTCGTGTATATTCATTTTTGAAGCACTACATTAGCCCTATTTTTTTACTAATACAAAAATTTTAAGTCATTTGCCTATCTGAAGGATTACGTCTCCCACATTGATTTGTTATTCTGACTTAGCTATTAATAAAACTCCCAAACACATTTTGATCTTACAAAAATCAGGCATTTGTATGATGTCCTATACAATTAGCTGCACGTAAAGAACTTGTTTGTTACACTCTGAAACTTTGGTTCCGTCAAAGTTTAGCATCTGTTGCGTACTGATTTAGAATTCAGAATGTCGCTCACTTCTAAATTTCTTGCGCTTTACAGCAGGTATAGATCATGGTTTCGCACATTGCACTAATAATTTTAATTGAAATATTTGTAGATACCAAAATATTGTACTATTCAGTACCAATAACTTAACAAGCATTCGAGACAAGAAACCATACACGTGATTTGGACTACTGAAATAAAACGATTAGCAATGTTTTAATAGTTGGTATAAAAAAGAAATTTTTGTCAGAACTCATATCGTAAATAAATTTGAACATTTAACTCCTATAATGAAGTGACATTATATAAAGATGTTTGAGGTAATGTATTAACTCGACAAGTCTTGAAGCTAAACGACGAATCTAAGCTTTTGCACCCATTCGTGCACTATTAAGACATTTTTTAGTAATATTTCTCATTCCGCTTGCAGTACCTAAAGGTATGTAGCAAAGCGCTTGTGTTACCTAAATAGACTAAAAATTTCCGTTTATTTAAGCCTAAGCATAATATTCACTTATATACGATCATGTGGAAACTCAATGATCCTCTTTGCTTAATTTATACTGTTAGCTTTTGCTGCCTAAATTAATTCTTTGACACCTAATGAGTTCAAGCTACATAAAATCTTAAAATAATATTGTATTTCAAGCCCACCAATTGAAGACGCTCCTTTTTTAGAAATTAACTAACTGTAAACACACCACTTAAAATGAGCCTCCCTGAAATTAGTTTGTGGAACCTATACTTGAGTGATCTCACCATCGAAAATTGGTCCTGACTCGCCATATGGCAAAAATCGTCCCACCCTTTTTAGGCCATTAGCGGAAAACTTTATTGACTGTTTCATTTATGAGCCAGTATTTCATAGGGTATTGCCTACATAATTTGCGCATTGGGTCTAGATTCGTTGAATTCGGAAAAACTAAATATCTTATCTAACCAATAATACCATGTTCATTATTTTTGCACTAAGCCAACATAAAGTCTCGGTTACATAGTGAAAACAAGGTTGCCTGCAAGGGAGGTAAATGTCCGTTAAATCAAAAGCTGTCTCGTCCAGTGATTTAAGAGCTCACCATCATTTCAGCATCAGAAATCAGGTTAATCATTGTGCTTTCGTAGATCGAATTCCCTTTATTGATATATCCTAACCAATTATATTTAAAATAAATAACAGGCATTTTTTTAACTACATTGTTTCAGTTCGATCGTCTACCTCAAGGATAAGGTAGTTCAAAGTAAACCTATGCCTGTCCGAGAAAAGAATACTGCACCCTTCCAGACGCAAGCAGTTGATGGGTTGTATCGCTGAATTTACATCGAAAATTCTCTGCCAGTTCTGCGTTTCGCACATTTTGTCTGATGCTATGTTTCCCGAAAGTTTATCTCATAGTTGGACACAACTATGGAAGTTATGGGCACCATACTAGTCCTAACTTTACCTCTAAGTCGTTTACCACATCTTCTAGTGCAAATTCTCCCCTGTTTGTAGGACTTTTCAAAGATTTGATATTTGGGAAATAGATTACGGAAAATTGCAAAACCTAGAAATCGAATATCATGCCGTGAAGTCCCCCACAGCTTTCTATCTCAATTTTTATTATTGGTGTTTTGCTGAGTGCTTATTCGCCTGCGTCCAGCAACTGTCACATAAGCCACGCGTAGGATACATAGGCCTTCCTGGAGAAATGCTACCAGCCAAATGCTAGGAGCAAACCCCACCTCAAAATGTATGGAAATCACCAAAACGCGTTAGTAAAATGCTTGATGGTCCCCTTGTCAGTTAAGAGCAACAGAGGACGAATAATTAATGAACTGATTTGGAGATCCAAACACTATTTTAGAGGCTCGTAAAAACGTATATATTTTGTACAAGTGATGCAGAAGTTTTTAATGATCAAATAAGTGTACAAACGCAGGTAGGGTAGCATTTACAGTAAGTAGTAATAGTGGGACAGTCGCTTTGTTGTACAATTTGCTTCACATGTCCTCAGAAGCCCACTTGTACGCAATTTCGCGCTCAACCTTTCTTCGGGTGATGTCATCGACGAGTTTCTTTTCAAAACCGTTGCTGCGATCAACTCCATCCCAACGGTAACCGGGCCAAATACCGTAGCGATTAGGAGGAGGCTCAGGAGGTCCCTTGTAGCGCGGCCGTTCCTCCTCTTCTTCCTCTTCCTCTAAAAACCAAAATAAGAGGGACAGTCGTCTAATCACCGGTTTGAATGGACAAGCGCTACTTCAGGCCAATAAAACGGCACAAACTAGGACTAGTCTTGCACCTAGACTTGACACACACACACACACACACATTTAACCAGAGAAACTGAATTATTATGAGGTATTACCGAGCAGATAAAACAAAATGTTACAAGTAAACAATCAATGTTGAAATAGCCTTATATAACCATGGAAAACTATACTGGTTTTGCGCTTGGTTTGAACCTTACCACTTTCTCGGTGCTTTTTTTTCTTTTTCTTCTTTTTTTCCTTTTTACGTTTTTCCTCGAAATAGGCCAACATTGGATCCTCCGAGTGTATGACCTCCTTTTTAAGGTCGTTGAGATCTTTATCATCAGCGTAGCGAGCCAGTGGCTTCGAGGCTTCGTACCGAGCTTCCTGGAGTTCCGCATCTCGTTCCTTCACGGAGTCTATCCTAAGAAACACCCGAATGCAATGTGAGACAACATTTAACCACAAGTCAACTTTTAATTTTTAGCAAAAACAGAAGGTGCAAATAAAAGGCACAATATAAACAAATGGGAAAAACTAACATATATACTTTTGCTCAGCTACACATTGCAGTGAAAAATAAAAAAATGTAGTTTTGAGGTGGGTTAGTCAAAAGATAGCTTAAATCGCTCAGGAGTCCGAAACTGTCCACAGAGAGAAACGCTTGACGGGCGAATATTCAAAGATGAGGAATCTCACGCTACATGTGGAGAGTTTAAATAACACTGTCGTTTCCGTGAAACAAAAAGAATAAGCTCACCCTCTGTTCCAAAGAGCATACTTCGCCTCCAACTCGGCCTTTTTGCGGGCCTTTTCGGCCTGCATATTGATCGCTTCTTCGGACAATATGCCCTTTGTGCGCTTTCTAATCTGCGTTGCTACTAATCCCAGGTCATCATCTCGCGCGAACATGTTTAGTTCGAGTTTCGTCTTCTCATCAAAGGCGTCCAAGGAGTCCGGCATCTCCCCGCTAATTATAGAGGCGCAAATGAATTATTAGTAGGGACTGGCATTTTTTTAGAAAGGTTTAACATAAATTACTGTGAAGAACACCTAGAAGTTAAATGAGCGAAGTAAAGTGATTTGTGCAATAAGCACAGACTAATACAATGTGGATAAGAAAGAGCAATTATGAATTGACAGTTAATTCAGTTGGTGTAATTTCAGTTCATAACTTAAGCATAAAAACCTTCTGTATGCAATGCAAAGGCAACAAAGAAATTCAAGAGTTTTTTACGTAGATACGGGGCGTTTCGGAATACAAACGACCCACCACCAAGCAATTTACCTGATGTAGTGGACGGTTCCATCACCTTTCCGTTTTTTGCCTTTTGGGTGACTTAAGTATTTCTTCAAATATTCTTCTTTAGATAAGGGTGGCTTTGACATTAACTACAAGAAAAAAATGGCGCGGAAATACTTTGTAGAGGTGTCACATGTACGAAACCACACAAAGGTTTCCTACTTTGAAGGAAACCATTAAAACATACAAACCGACAAATTATTAATTGATTCAAATTTAAAATCACATAAATTTCAGATTAAGACAAAAGCTATGTAATCATAGATATTAGACAGAAGCATGAAGCGCTAGGTGAAAAGACACGTTTAACACTGGATTAAATAGCAAAAATGAGGTTGACGCGGAAAATATCGGCAGCATATTTGTGGTTATTGAAGTGAATGAAACTTAATTTGTTTGCTGCATCTATTTTAAAAATACTTCACAAAAATAATGACTACTGAAACATCATGTTGACCAAAAAACCTCTAAATCAATTTATCCAAGTCAGCATTTAAGATGTAATTAAGGTTTAATTCTAAAAATCAGCCGAAATTCCGATGCACGCTAACAAGAGATTTGACTAACTATGCATTATGGTTTATTAAATACAAGATATCGTTCCGGAACCAAGAGATATACTCATGTGTAGCTCTGGAGTGGGCGGTGCACTTACAAGCAAGCGAAAATGAAAAACAAATAACTACTCAATACGATTATTAACGTAGGTCTTTACATTAACATAGATATTCAATTGTTTGATAAAAGTATAGAAGTTGTCACATCATACATAATTTTTATGACAAAACAATGTTAGAGACAATTTACATAAAGACGGCAATCTCGGCAACACAGATTAGTACCGAAGTAAGGGTCCTTCCAATTGGATAGTTTTTTGGCCAATAATTTGCACATGCCCATAAAACTTCTTACATTGCATGAAAAATAAAAACTGATATATTTGCCAGTTTGACCAAACATTAATTAAGGTGTAGAGCTAGGTGAAAGTAGTATACGCAAAATTTAACACATTTAGCATATTTCAAGCATATTTCTGCATTTCCAACATAAATCGTAAGAATAATTTGTTCCAAATGAGTGATGATACGTCAAATATTCATCAAAAAACCTTGATGAGGCAATGAGACCTCGCACACAGGCACATAGTATTGGGCAAATTGAAGCTATATTTGGAGGTCAAACATCCGCTCTTACCAAAGCAAAATGCTAGTTTGACCTGTTAATTTCACAAGTTTTTTTTCGCTTTATTTTTATAGATTTTGCATCATCTCATTAAAACTCAAGCTGAATAGAGGTTTTAGGAAATCAAGGATTTAACGACTGCTGTGTTTATTGTTTGATCAACCAAATTCGATTGATTAATCTGAAAATTACTGTGTCCACCATTAATTTGAGTGGCCGAATCTTTATCACCTGCGACAATTTTATCTTCGTTATTCATTTGTATGCTTCATTTTAAGAAATGAATTGTCAAGATATATTGAATGAATGAAAATGAATGATCAATTCCTCAAAATGATAACCAAACGAATAATATACAATGTTCTTTTTCCACGACCTTATATTGCAATACATACATACACTTTAGCTTCCTGGAACATTAATGATGCTTGTATTGTCATTTAAATCTCTCCTGCGAAGTGTATCAAAGATCCCAGACATGTTACTTAGAAGATGCGAACACTCTCGGTTTACTTTCGGGTTACTTTAAATGTTGTAATTGTAATGCTTACTTTGGAACAATGATCATGCCATCACATTATACTCTCAGGATGATCAGAAGTCTTCGGACGACATTATGCGACATTTCTGAAATTTTGTTTCAAAGCTGTGCATATTTACATAAGTTTAACATTACGACCAATCACAAGTTCAATGACTATTGTTAAATTTCCTCTCAGTCCTTAATTTATCAGAACTTCATCGCTAACTGCACCAATTTCTGTAAAGGAAGTAGGAATTAGAAGGAGTCATGACTTCCACTTATAATTCGAAAATTTGATTGTTGGATTTTGTTGTGCGTGAGTACAATTAAGCTGGCCGACTCGATAATCAAAAGTGGCCTGTTTACTGATCCTTTAGAAGAGTGATAATTGTTGAGCGATCAACACAGTTTATTTATTTGACGACACCACGAATTCAGTCAATAACTACAAACAAGTTGTGCTCTTGAACCACGCTGGGGCCGCGGAATTAACCCAGGTCCGATTACGCTTCCATGATACCCTCGATGAATAAAAAGACGGTAGAGGACGTGGACACAACCGTTTAGTTTAGAGCACAACCACGTTGGTGTCGTTGTGTCGTGGATGGTTTTTGCGTGTGTGTATTTATATTTTGGATGTGTGAGTCATACGTGCGTTAACTTCGAGACCTAGGTGTTAAAATAATCCAAGATATATACCCGTTTGAATGAAGGGGGACTTGAGGATCAGCGTGGCTGGTGACATGCCATGAAAAGGGAAACCCTATGTCGGAGATGGAGCGACCGTTTTACGGGGTGTGAATAAACACGATTCACAACAATGTAAGTGTACTCCCCTACTCTAATAACAATGAATCACTCTATTTTAAATATGTGAAAAACAGAATTCAAATGCTTACTGATTAGTACTTTAAAAAAAGTGATGTGAAGTAGCTCACACTTTTTAGGAAGACATAACTTTAATCAACGAGATTATCCAAGAACACACTAATAAATGCATATTTCAATCATAGTTAGTCTAGAAAAAAAGTTATGTCGGTTTTTTGCCTAAGTTAATGATAAATTTTAATCATATATAATGAACAAAGAACCCAAGAATATTTATCTTTTCAATCTTACCTTGACATTTGATCTTTCATTTAGTAATGAACGATCATTGTAAGCTATTGATTTGAGCACAAATCATCGAGTTCGATTAAGCGAAACGTACTTTTCGTTTTTCAGTTTCAATTAAGCCCATGTTGTTTGCCTACACGCTATCAGTTTAATCAAAGTTCGGTAAATTATCAGTGAATAACTACTACAAAAACAGGCACAACTATGGGGTACATGATGAGCGGCTGAGCCTAGCACAAAATGTCTAGACAATTGTGATTGCAATGTGTTTTGTTTAAAAACATTTACGAACTGCAACGAGGTAAATATATAATTTATTCAGTTACACCAGGGAGCGGAACCACAACTCAGAGTAAACGACTAATGTTGACGCGACAACGAAGACATTTGTGCAAATCATCTTTTGCGTATTAAATGTCCCAATACAATGCAAGATTTTGTTTATAAAACGGGAAAAGGTAGTGTGGTTCGAAAACCATACAAAATCTAAAAAGACAGCTAAATTTTGTCAACATGTTTTCAAGATTTAATAAGTAATTTCCATATTAAAATCTTAAATTACTGCCGAAAAATGGTTAGATATTATGATTTAAATTGACTAAGACCCCTAGAAGTAAAAAAGGAACATTGTCTCCTAAACTAAAGAACGATTAATGTTTTAATTCCTCAAACATTATTAACTCACTGCCTTGCGCAATTCAAAAATGTTGTCGGCTGGATTTTTATTCTCATTTTTAAGCCTATCACACTCCTGTCCAATACGAATTTTGTATGGGACGGAAGTCTGAAAGGGTTAAAAATGTGAAATTACACCTTTCTGGCGCAGATGGTTTGGTTATATTTGTTTTGCGTGTCACAATTTTGGCTTTTATGATTGAAGTTTTTGTTTAATTAAATATACACTCTTTTATAAGTAATGCTAAAAATTGACTGGATATGTTCTGTATTTCATTCCGTATTTAAAAAAACCTAAAAACTAGACACATCTGATTTTTTAAGGTGCCCAGAACTTATTAATTTTCGAAGAGGTTAGATAGTTTTATGTGAAGAACTTAAAATAATTTGCATGGATTAAGATTTACTTCTGTTTGTTATCACACGCTTTTATCTTTTGTAAGATCTTGAAATTATCTAGGCTTTTGTAAAAATCCTAAATTGTTTTTTATGCAACTTTACTCGTGCTCGAACCACAAATAAGGTGATTTGTCGTTAGCTAATACAATAATAAATCAGAAGAAAGACAGGTTGGAGTACACGGCTCTAAAATTTTATCTGCTTTTCCATTTGTTGACTTGATTGTTATATAAATCTACTTTTTTAATAGAATTAACTTAATGAATTAAAAATTAGATGTATGAATGCAATCAAAGGTGACGACGAATGAACATTCAAAATTTTGTAATGGAGAACTGCGTGAGTCACTTTTGAAGACTAGTATCTTATCCAAATTGATTACCTTAGAACACTGCTTCTGTTCGACTTTCGAATGAATCACAACATTCACTATTCAAGAATATGTGGTCGAAATTCCGGTATAAGAGTTTTTTACAGCCGAGATGACTTCGGATGGAGGTTTCTTATTTATTGTTGGATATATTTGACGAGACATTATTGAAAAAGTACCACAGTATTTAAAGATGTGTGAGTGAACATTCTGCTTACTTCTGAGGTAAGTAACAAGATTCTTTTTAAAGGCACATATTCTGAATCCGTGTGATCTATATTCTGTATGAGGGCCCGTTAAGCTTCCTGCTAGAGAAAGGGCCGTTTTTTCGTTTTTATAAAGAAATACGCTTGTGCGACATGCATATATGAAGGATCGCATTAGATGAGTAGGAAAATCTGTTAAGTGGACTTGGCCGGTTGGAGCTTTAGTCAGTATTGTTTGTGTTGTCGATGTCAAGTCCCATCTGAACAATGTGTTTTTTTATTCTATTGTAGTTGGGGTTTTATACTTTATTAAGGATACGTGTTGATATATTTTGAAAGCATATTTACCTTGCAAGTTTTTTGCAAATCAAGACGATTTCTCATCTGAGGTGATTCGTCGTTCTGTAAATCAATATGTGTCTCGCAAAAATTGATATTGCGAATCTTGGTTTAATGCAATCATAAAAAAGTGCTGAAAATTCTTGCACCATTTTTTTTTCAAAACTCCTTGTGCTGTACATTACGCAGGAAATCTCAATCGTCACAATAAGAGCCTCATAGGAATTTTACAGGGTTTTAATTTAAAATAGAACACCTTATGACAAAAAACCGTATGGT